AGTCAACCCTCAGCCGGTGAGATTTGAACCGCCGAACTGCAGAACTAGCAGTCAGCTGAAGTGGCCTGCAGTGCTTCACTCTAATCACTGCGCCACCTCGGCTCTGATAAGGCTAAGAAGCAGTATAGATCGTCCTTGACTTACAACCATTCACTTAGTGACCATTCGAAGTTATAATGCACTGAAAAAAGTGACTTTTGACCGTTTTTCACACTTGCAACCATTGTAGCCTCCCCACAGCCACGTGATGAAACTTCAGGTGCTTGGCAACTGGCATGTGCTCACGACAGTTGCAGTGTCCCGGGGGGTGACGGGATCTCCTTTTGCAAGCCTTCTGATTCCTTCCCCCTCTGAGGCTGCCTTTTGTGAATGGCCCAGACTTGCCTCCCAGCTGGCGTGCTTAACCAAGTGTTTGCGTTGAGGCTGGCTTGCATTGTGGAGAAGGCAACATTTGCATGCCCTTTGTAAGGCCCACTTGACTGCAGTTGTAGGGCTCGAGATGGGGAGAGGCGGGGGGGTGGGGTGGAGAAGGGAAGAACAGCAGTGCCGAATCGTGAATGAAGCAGATAACCCGAAGCCAAGAAGGCCAAACGTGTTTCAAGCTTGCGTTTTTTTATTCGGTGTCAAACTAGCTTGCTCCCTATTGTGCGTTCGCCCATCTGTCCCGAAATGCTGATGGTTATCCTGGCGCCTGTTGCGTTGTGACAGCGTCCCATTTTTTACAATGGCCATTTGCATCCTGTTCGTAAACGCCCGCATCTGTTTAACCAGTAAACAAAGAGAAAGCGGATTTTTTTGCAGCCCGGCCAGGAACATCTGGCTTGGGGTTTTAAGTCACTTCTGGCAAGATGGGAGGCTGTATACATTTGATAAATAAATGATGCTTCTGAGTTTTTCTCCCCCCCCTCCCTCCCCCCCCCTTTTTTTTAATGGAAGCAAGACCGCATTTCTTTTTAGGGTGGGTTTTATTTCCCCAAGTTTTCAAAAGAGAAGCAAATACGCTCATTTTGTCTTTCTCTCTGGCAGACCTGAACAAGAACAGGCCCTCTTAGCCGCAACAGGTTCTTTTAAAACTGTTTATTTCAAACGAAAGCAAACTTTCCACGTTTCATGCATTAAAAGTTAGTTCTTAACTGCGGCGTCTGTAGCATCATCACTAAATTTCTGTCTTGGCGTTTGGGGCCACCTTCGCTCCTTACAGCGGAGACAAACCCCTTGTGGGTCTAAACACACTCGGCCAAATAAGGCCTGTGCCTTCCCGGATATCGAGAGCCTTGGAATTGTGGGGTGTGCGCATTCTGGACCCAAACGAAAGGATCTCACCCCTTGTTTCCTTTCAGAGTGGGATCCAGCAATCAGGATTGGCGTGCTGGATTGTGGAGATGAGAAAAATTACGAACCGTGCAAAGAGTATGGAATTCAGTATTATCCCACTTTCAGGGTAAGTACTTTCCCGCTTCCTAGAAATGGTGGTTGTTTGATTTGCCCCCCCTCCCCCTAGTTTGAAGGATTTCCTGTGGGGATTTTAATCCAGAACTGGGGGGGGGATCTCCTTCACTCCTCAAATCTGAGTCGCTCTGCACTTCTCTGTTAGCATCTATTTTTTGGAGGGGTCAGAGCTTTTGGGTGATTATATATAGCCGCCCTGAGTCTCTCGAGAGTGGGCGGCATACAAATCCTAATAAACGTAATAAACGTATATTCAGAGTCGGACCGTTCTACCTTTGGGGTTTTATTAATTTGGGCTGTTCTAAGCAAAACCTTTTCTTTTCTCCCTCCCCCTCCAGTATTTCAAAGCGTTTACCAAGCAGTTTACAGTTGGAGAAAATCATCACGGTAAGTTCACAAGCCAACCTCCTTTCCCCCTTGAAGATCACCCCCAGCCACCTTGTGTCTCAATCCGCAGGACGGATGTCCTTAAGGGCACGAAGCCCGTTCTGTGCCGCAGGAGCCCTAGTCAGCCAAGTCAGTCATGAAAAGAGGGTTGAATTAAGTTCATAGGCTGCATGCTGGCATCTCTAACTTGAAAGATGCTAAAGGCAGTCCTCACGACCAAAAGTGAGCCCAAAATATCCATTGCCAAGGAAGACTGTTGTTAAGTGAGATTTGCCCCATTTTACGCCTTGTCTTGCCACAGTTGTTAAGGGATTTCGTGCAGTTAGCAACATAAATATGAGCCAGTTGCCAAGTGTCGATTGTGATCACGCAGTGCCGCAGGGGTCGTCCGTGTGAAAACCGGCCGTGGGTCATTTTTTTCAGTGCCGTTGTAACTTCAAACGGTCACTAAACAAGTGGTTGTAAGTGGAGGGACACCTGTACTTGGAGGTGCCTTTTTCTTGAAGAGTGCGCTTCAGAGCCCTGGTCCTTTCCTCCTGCATCTTGCCAAACCCCGTGGATGTTCATTGGATGTTGGGTAGGAGGGATGAGTGAAGCGCTTTGCCCGATGCCGAGGAAGGTTCCCTTCCGGCATACCCGCCCGAGTGCCATCCTTCTCTCTTTCCTCAGCAACCTCAGATCGGGATCTTCAGACCATCCGCCAAACCATGATTGATTTTCTCCAGAACCATTCCCGAGAAGCAAAACCACCAGCGTGTCCCACTTTGGAGCCAACTCTGTGAGTCCCTAACCCTACAAATAGAGCGGCCTGCCATGGCTGTCAGGGTTCCAAGTAACGCCCCCAACGAAAGAAGCCCGCGAGACTTGCGTTTCCTCAAAGTTCCATTTTATTAGAGATGCCATATTGGCACATCTGGGAAAACCCGAATCTGAAAGTTTCCAGGTTTTCCCCACCCAAGTGAAAGTTCAAGACCCTGCCCAGCACCCACATGTCCATCCCATGAGCCAATCAGGTATCATTCAAGCCAGGAGTTACCTCCCAGTCATCTCATCACAGCTGCAGGTCCAGATGACCTTGACTTTCTGAGAAAGAATGTTGTTATGGCTACATATCACCCACACTCTGTAAAGTCCCCGCTTCCATTTTCCCACAGTAGAAAGTGTGGCAGGCCTGATATCCAAGAGTTAAAAGATGGCTTCCAGGTCTGACAATGGCACATTCAGAAAGCCATATAACCCATTCCAAGATCTATTTTGTTGTTTGTTTATTACAATTATTCCTGCTTCTCAAGATGTTCATTCTCCCAAACGAAAGCTGCAGAAACAATTATGAATGAAAGCCCACAGAAATGATTTCTTTTTAGCAGCAAACTGGGTAAAAGGCCTTTCCATAATTTCTGCTGCTTGACAATATGTGAGTTGAAAACGCTTGTAGATAAGCTGTAGATAATTATCAGTAAATGTCTTCTTACCTTTATCTCTCCTGTGATTCTCTCATTAACTTTTCTTAATTAATTCTAAATTATTTGTTCTTAACAGGCCAGAAGAAGTATTTTCCCTTTTCAATAAACACAGTCAGCATTATACTGCCATCATTTTTGAAAGCGGGAGCTCCTATCTAGGCCGAGAGGTAATGTAACCAATGAACGTAACGCAAGTCCCATCCTCCTTTAGACGTAAGAGTGGCTTAAGTATCTCTGATACTTAAGAGCTGAGGTGGCACAGAGGTTAGGGTGCAGTACTGCAGGCCACTTCAGCTGACTGCTATCTGCAGTTCAGCGGTTCAAATCTCACCGGCTCAAGGTTGACTCACCCTTCGATCCTACCGAGGTGGGTGAAATGAGGACCCAGACTGTGGGGGCGATATGCTGACTCTGTAAACCGCTTAGAGAGGGCTGAAAGCCCTANAGCCGGTGAGATTTGAACCGCTGAACTGCAGATAGCAGTCAGCTGAAGTGGCCTGCAGTACTGCACCCTAACCACTGCGCCACCTCGGCTCATTTCAACCAGTCATTTTGTGACTATTCAAAGTTACAACAGCACTGAAAAAAAGCGACGGCCATTTCCCACACTTATGACCATTGCATCAGCATCATGTGATAAAAATCCAGACATTTGGCAACTGTACTTGTACTTACGACGGTTGCAGCGTCCCGGGGTCACATGATCCCCTTTTGCGACCTTCTGACGAGCAAAGTCAATGGGGAAGCCACTGGTTCGTTTAACAACCTTGTTACGAGCCCAGCAGCTGTAACGATTCACTTAACAACGATGGCAAGGAGGGCCATAAACCGGGGCAAAACTCACTTAAGAAATTTCTCAATTAGCAACCGAGATTTTTGAAACTGGGGCTGATGAGGGGCAGAATTGGCGCACACCGAAGATGGCGCCACATTAAACGGCGGGCGCCACAACTGCCACTCACGGTAGATGCATCACTCGGCCTGTCACCGGCAGGACTTCAATATCAAGATTATACTTACTCCAAGGCCTTTATTTTTTTTTGCCTGATGTGGTTCTGATCAATATTAACCTCTGGGGTCAATAAATCTTCATAGGGGCCTCCAGAGAAGTCATTAGCTTTCATAGAAAATGATTATTTCTCGGTTAAACTCTGCATTTAATTTCCAAGCCATCCATCTCTTTTCCGGCTGTCCCCGCTGCAGAATGGGGGAGAAGGGCAAAGGGGGAGACCTCCAAGGGGCACCCAGGGTCCCCACAGCCCTTTGGGGGTTGAGAAATTCTGAGGGAGGAGAAGGGGAAGGAGAAGGAATGAAAGTGGAATGGAGAATGTGGGAGGAAGGAGAGAGAGAGGAGGAAGGAAGGAAAGAGGGAGGAGAAAAGGGAAGGAGAAAAGAGAAAGAAGGAAGGAAAGAGGGAGAGGGGAAGGAATGAAAGTGGAATGGAGAATGTGGGAGGAAGGAGAGGGAGAGGAGGAAGGAAGGAAGGAAAGAGGGAGGGGAAAAGGGAAGGGGAGGAGAAAAGAGAAAGAAGGAAGGAAAGAGGGAGGGGGAAGGAATGAAAGTGGAATGGAGAATGTGGGAGGAAGGAGAGGGAGAGGAGGAAGGAAGGAAGGAAGGAAAGAGGGAGGGGAAAAGGGAAGAGGAGGAGAAAAGAGAAAGAAGGAAGGAAAGATGGAGAGGGGAAGGAGAAGGAATGAAAGTGGAATGGAGAAT